ATGGCTGACCTGACGAAGATGAGGTCATATACAATAGAAAAGAATAGAATAGCGCTTTAAGCCCTCGGAGAGGTCCCCTCAGGAAAACAGTTCACGTGTGTTTTTTACCGGGTTGATGTCGTCCATCCTCCACCCTCCTGCCTCTGCTCCACGTCTCTCTGTTGTACAGTTGGCTGTCTCGGGGTACAGAGGAAGAGGAAGAGGAGGAGGAGGAGCCAGCCTGATCAGGCTGTTCCTTCAGCTGGTATTACTGGTGTGTTTCAAATGACTCCTTCATAATAAAGCATCACACTGCTCATTCTTATTGCGTATTTATGAACGTTCATCAAACATGATGTAAAAATCTACATTTGAAAATATTCAGTCAGCCATCAGCACGACAGCTGAGAAACGCAGATGCACGTCGTTGTTCCTGCTCCAGGTGCAGGAGCCACGTTTACGAGTGACGGGTGGTGCTGCCTCCGCCACCTGGCCCCGGATAAACGGAGGAAGATGGATGTTATTATCTGTCTTACTCAGGAAGCCTCAGGGACACACATCACTCCAAGCTAAACTCCTTCAGCTCATTTTTGTAGCACGATTTTATTTCATAAACATATTTATTCACGAAAATTAAGGAAGCAGGAATTCCCGTCATTTAAACACAGGCGCAAACACTGAAGCTACCAACAGCTCCACGGGACTCCGCCCCAGCAGCACCTGTCATGAACTCTTCATGTTCTGTGTCATGGTTTACTTTTCCTGCCACACGTGCCACAAACCACCTCGGCTGTTTACGATCACACATTATCAAAGTCAGCTCAGGTGAGCCGCGGCGCATCTATGCAGCCTGATGTTGCATATCACTGTGACAGGTGGAAGAAGAAGTAAAAATAAGTTACTTTCTGCTGTGTTCCTGTTAACGATTAAATACAAATTCACCCCAAATTACTAAAATGCTGATATTTCAATAAGAGCATCGATCCTAGAACGTAAATATCTGACAGCGTGCAGAGGGTGGCTGACAGCGTCTGTGATGTTCAGCAGCACGAGTCCAGCTTCTCCAGCCCAGACTCCTGTTTGGTTGTGCTGCCCTGTGGTGCAGCAGTGCTGCCGCCCAGACTGGATGTCCTGGTCTCTG